GCTTGTCTAAAGGTCCCTGACTTGGGAAGGGTCATGAGGGCATGTTCATCGCTGCTTCGTAGCTGTTCTAGTTCGCCTGTGCGTGGGGCCCGGGTGGGGCCGGGGAGGAGTGACGAGGTCTCCAAGCAGAGCCGGGGACCCCGGTGCGTCTCGGTGGCAGGGACAGGCCTCTGTGGCCACGCGGGCTCCAGGGTAGACAAGCGGGACCTGAAACCCATGCTGGGTCAGTGTGCGGGGCAGCAGCCGGCTACCTGGGCCGTGATGACCCCTGTGTTCTCCACGGGTCAGGCCTGAGCCGGGCACACGGTTGCTGATGGGTTTCCGACTGCCCGGCCCTGGCGGAGAAACTCATGGCGAATGGAGGGGCCCAGCATATGCCTCCGAGAAACGGGAGCTTTAATTTATTTAAATTGGATGGAAAAGCATACGGAGGGGAACGGAAAGCTAATTTAAAGCAGTGCTCACAGCTATCAGCAGGTGACAGATCCCGTCAACTCCACACGCTCGGCCGCAGGGAGACACAATCACACCTTCGCGATGTCAGGGGGCCCCTCCCGCCCGGGTTAGGAAACACAGTTTTTGATGCTGGGGGCTGAGTCCTGGGGACTTAAAACCAGCCAGTCTTGTAAACATGCAAATATGCTTTTGGAAACAGAATTCGCCTGAGGAAGCCGGAAGTGATCATGGAGATTTTTTTAATCAAAAAATAATTTGGGGCCCGTCTGGCGTGTCTCAGTGGTCACAGTTTGATTCCCGGTCAGGGCATATGCGAGGGTTGCGGGCTCGGTCCCCAGTGGAGGGCGTATGTGGAAGGCAGCCAATGGATGATTCTCTCTTATCATTGATGTTTCTGTCCCTCTCTCTGAAATCAACAATAATAACTAAAAAACAAAACAAAGGCTCAGAACAGGCCTGAGATGAGCCACTTGGCATGTGGTTATTCTGGGTTGAAGGCAATCAAGACCCCATGGGCTTGGGAGAAATTTCTGCGCGCCTCCCCACCCCCCTCAACCCCCACAACTACCAGGAGAACCTGCATTGGGGCCTTGCCCATAGTAAGAGTTATTACAGGAACCGCTGTTATGACCTGTCTGTGCAGCACAGCAAACATCTGATGACTGCCATCTGCTCCTCTTGTCCTGGGACTTACTCGCCTCCCAGCGCCCCCGGGCCATGACCGCCTTCACCCAGGATGCCTCCCCTCCCCTCCGCTCTCTGAACCTCTCCTGCTGTGGGACCCGTGGGCACGTGTGTGAATTCGGTAATTTCTCGAGTTGATCTGCCTCGTGTTGATTTAGCGATTAGACCTGCAGAAGGGCCTGGGCGGGCGAAGGAAAGCCCCCCTCCCCCACAGGCAGCACAGCCAGGGCCGCAGCAGGGACCTCCCAGCAGGGCCACAGGCCTCCTCTGCTCAGCCACGCAGGCTGGGGCAGCAGTCAGAGCAGGACGACGAGGACACGACAGAGACACCGAGGACCGCTCTGGGGGAGTCCCCGCCTGGGAAAGCTTTGCAATTT